TACCTGACTTCAAATGAGGAGTTTATATGTTCATCAGTGGTGTTCAGCATTTTTCTCAAAGTCGGCAACAGAGAGTTTGTTCTCAGAAAGGCAAATGTTGGCTACTGTAAACTGTTCCTGTTTGACTGATTTTGATGGTGTAGTGTGATCGTTCGGGTGAGAGTAGTTCTGAGAAGGACTGTTTTCGGTAATAGTGGCTCACTGATGTTTCAAGAACTGCACAAGCGGAAAGTGAAGAGTCTTCGTCAGTCGACTTCTACAAAACTAATTCTGTGTAAACTGATTGGTCAGATTCCTCTTGTGTTATTAGCTGTGAGACGTGTTGATCGGTTCCTTTGTTGTGTAAATATGTCGTGTGTAGGTCGATTTGTATGGCGCAGGTGGGTGACGTTATGGGCTTATGGACTAAGCACAATTATATACGACCATACAAATGGTCAGGTGATACGGGCAGTCATATTCCTTATGTCCAAAATAAATAGCTATGGAGCATTCATTTTAAAAGATCCTGTATCTACCAGCTGAGGGATAAAATATTTTGCAATTTGATCGGTTCCTTTGTTGTGTAAATATGTCGTGAGTAGGTCAATTTGTAAAACGCAGGTAGGTGACCTGATTTGCTAAGCACAATTACAAACGACCATACAAATTATCTTGAATTCCCCTATCACTTTCAAGCGACACGGGCAGTCATATTTCTTATGTCCGAAATAAATGGATATAGTGCATTCATTTTAAAAGATCCTGTTTCTACCAGCTGAGGGATGAAATTTGACTTTCAAATACAGTAAAAACATCGGTTACATTTATCAGTTTTGTTAAATTTGTTCCTCTTCTAATTTCCCAAAAAATCTCTTTAATTCTCTCCTATAATCCTAGTAACATTTTGAAATGAACAGAGCAAGTTATAAATGTTTCAGCAAGAAATAGCTGATTTTAGCATTAAGCCTGTGGCTCAATGCCAATAATTATTAATATGATAACTTTGTATAGTCATCAGTGGTGTTGGGCATTACTCTAAAAGAAGCAGAGAGTGTTTTTGTCAGTAAGGGAGATGTTGACCACTGTAAGTGTTCCTGTTCGTTGTCGGTCGAGTGTAATAAGTCCAGTTCATGTAAAGTGATTGGTCAATTTTGCCACGACGGAATTGCCAGTGAAACACAAGTAGCGTAAGTCGGTCGTAATTCGCTAGCTGCCTCCATCGATAAAGTTCGGTCGCGTTGATCGGTTTGTTTGTTGTGTAAATGTCGTAAATAAGTCAATTTGTATGGCGCCGGTAGGTGCTCTTATGGGCTGAGCGTAATTGTAAATAACTCTAAAAAACATCTGCTATTATATGGTCTTAATTTTTAATGGTTGTTGATCATTAAAATAAGAAATAATAAAGTAATGCGACCCCATCAGCCAGTTCAACCGATGAAACTTCTCCACCCGGTGAACATTTGGAAAATAAAACTGAAGCACGCTTCGTTTTATATCTTGTCAATTCAAACTGATTTTTCCTCATAAGTAGTGCTTATCAAGTACAAGCAATTCTTTATAAAAAATATATTGAGATGAAAATGGCGAAAAAGCAATCTTTAACGATCTTTTTACACACTTTCAGAGCAACACTTTTTTAAGGAAGCTTAAGACGTCTACAACTCCTTTTTAATATAAATCATGACCACGGTTGCACGCTACAC